GCTAAAAGTACCCCGAGGTACCTCGGGGCGAAAAGTACCCTGGCGCTAATGCGAGTCGGGCGCTCGCTGTGACCGCTGCGGGCCCGGCCGCCCCTGCCTGCCAGAACAGCTCCCTTAGCTTCTGCAGCAGGTTTCTGGCCTTGGGGTTAACGCGTTAGCAGTTGTGACCCGTAAGCGAGGTATGTAATTCTCTATGCTGTGATTTGGGGAAGAGGCTACGTGATTTGCAGAGGAAGGATCAGCGAGGGGGACCTGGCGGAGCTGCTCGCGCCGAGGAGCGAGGCCTGGGGGCAGCCTCCTGCTTTGGGGGGAGGTTAACTTTGGGGGGAGTTTAATGCCTCTCTCTGAGGTCAGGCTTCTCGCCTACAAGGCTGGTGTGGCTCGAACCTTTCAGGGCTGCTTTAGGCCTAGTTTTATTTTCAGTAAAGTGCTTTGAGGTCCTCAGGATGCTTTTAGCAGTGCAGTAAAATTCTGTCTTAAAAAAAAAAAAAGTGTGAGTGTGCCACAGGAATTTAAATTAGGATATAATAGTTTCTAGCTAACCACAACTTTGTGCGTTGCATAGAAAAGGCACCCGGAAGAACATCAGGATGAAGCGGTTCATGGCCATGCTGAATAGGCATAAAAATAAGGATCCTCCACCGGCCAAACTGCTGGATCTAGCAGGACAGCTTTGCCAGGACTTTCAGAGCTCGTCCCCTACCCTGGAGAAGCTTGTTGGGGCCATTATGGGATGCAAACACAAGACATATTTTCTCACCAACATCCACGTAGTCCGAGCTTGCGTGTCGGTTCATATCCATAAAGGACAGCATGACACAGCCTGCAGACTCCTGGAGGTAAGGACGTGTCTTCTTTTCTTGATGGAGACAAAAAAGCAGTATCAGAAAAAGAGCAGTTAGAGCTGTTAAGGTTAGATGAAAGGTACCCAAACTGCAGCACGTGGAGATTTCTGGCTGGTGTATGGTAGTGAGATGTGTGGATTGGCTGACCTGAAAGGATGGGGACTTTGCTACAGGCAATTGCTGTTAATCAGCTAGGGGGGAGAAGGTAATTGGGTGATGATGGGGTTGGTCCCGTAGTTTGTGGAAGCGGGGAATGATTTCTGCTCTCTAGTGTGGTTCTTCTTGGAGTTTCTTACTTAGGCCTCAGGACATAAATGCCTTGGGGGTAGGCCAAGGTTCGAGGGCTCCACTTTTGCTGGGATGGAAAGATGTGAGGAAGGTCTGATGATACCACTGAAGGTGGAGGATTTTGGCCCCTAGATCTGATAGTGCAGTCCTTTTCTCAGAGGAAAAGAAGAGGTTAGATAGGCGTATGTTAGAGATGGAACAGCAGGCCATATACTTGGGTAATGGTTGCCAACCTTTGTCAGTCCAGTAGGCATCTCCAAGCGAGTTTCCAGTCGTTGAGGGACTTCTCTGTAAAGAAGCCTGACTGACTTTCTGGAAAGGTTTTGCTTAGTTGCTCTTTTGTTTTAGTGTTGCAGGGCAGAAGAAAAGGAGGAGCTGGTGCAACTCTGGCATGAGGTTCACTACCAGCAGGTTATGGAGAAACACCGCACGGACTTTCTAACCCCCCTGCAGAAGTTTCGTTGCAGGAAGAGGTACCGCAGTGCAGGGGAACTATGTTCTTTCTCTGCTCTAGTTAGCAGATGCAGTGGGTAAAAATTCAGAGGCTGTTTTTGCACCTCAAGATGACAGCTTCTTGGAGGGGGGTTTCACTTGGGGTTTTGACCTTCACCTGTTGCAGTATGACAAAGCTCTCATAGAAGTAAATGAGTCTTTATGGGTCCTTCTTGATCCTGCTTTCTGTTGTACACAGGAATCCTCCGCCTGTTTCCCTTTGTCCCGAAGGTTTGAAGAATCGAAACTATCCAGATAAAGTCCGCCGAGAACTGCACAGGTTTGCGGCAGAAGTGACGACAAATCCAAACAAGGAACAGCGGGTAGGGATGCTACCTCCAAACAAGTCTCCTTGTAATGGAAAAAACAATTCTGTGACTGGGGATCTACAGCTGGTTTCATTCCAACTCCTTGTTTTCAGGAGCCCCAGTGGGGCTGGAATTCCCCAAATTTGATCTTTCCCTGAAGGTTTGTTTTAAAATAAGTTCAAGTTTAGTAATTTCACTTAATTTGGACAAAACGATCAGGGGAAACAGGTTCCTCACTGAGCTCCTAAGAGGTCTAATTTTGTAGCTTGACAAAGGCAAGGAAATAACCATCACTCAGGCTACATTATGGTGATAAATAGTTCTGATTTAGCTGAGTTACAGCCTTTATAAAACTGCACTTTGATGACCAGAATATACATACTGCACTGACTTACCATGTTAAACTTAAAACTTGCAAACAAGACTGGCTGTGGTGGTGTATGCATGTATCCACCTTATGTGGACAGGGACAAATTTGTAATGAAAGTGACCTGTGAATGAATTTGGTAATCCTTGTTTGTTACTATCTTGCAAGATAAAAGCTTCAGACTTTTAAAGTCTGCTGTTGTGGCGCTCAGTTATTTCAGCCCCCTTTTTATACAAGATGGGATGACCTGGTGAATAGTTCTGCAACGTGAAGAAGATTTATTTTGTACCTTTTCATAAAGTAGCAACAACTCCTAAATATCTATTTTTAAAAAAATCTGAATTGGGAGCATAATAAAGTTGCACAAATAAGTCCTAAAAGGTCAAGATATGACAAGAACTTGTGCGTGAGTTTCCAAATACGTTCTTTGCTTATGCGATTATTATTTAACTTATTATTTAACAATTAGTTTAACACAGCAGTCACTTCTCTGTGAATGCGATGCAGAAGTTTATACTGCTCACAATTTATGAAAACTATTTAATGTGGCAAGTGGATTAGTGTTTATCCCAATACTGTCACGTTAGTGATGTGAAGCTGTCATTCTGTGGAAGGAGCGTGCTTTGGCAAGGTTTTATGTAGTATGTTGCATGTTTAAATATAGCGATTTGAAGTAACAGTGAATTATTTCCTTTAGCGAACAAACGAGCAAGGGGAGGAGGGTGGAATCCATGTTTTCCAACAATTCTTTTGAGTTAATGAGTCAGTCTCCTTCATGGGATCTAACAGACTTACCAGAGACCTGGTGAACCAAGTGTCTGTAGTGGGTTTGAAAGCTCTTTTACCTGGCTACTTTTGGAACCGGAAGGAAAAGCCTGATTATTTGCATGTGGTTTGTTCTTTTTCCTCTGATCCCTCTCCACACCTGGGTTTGCAGGAGGGATTGGCTCAGGACATGAATCTGCAGCCAACTCAGGTCTATAACTGGTTTGCAAATTATCGACGTCGTCAAAAATCCCGGCTCACGTGCATGGAAAAGTTCACCAGTCCATGCCCTGAGAAAGCTTTGACTCACTATGCGAAGGAGCAGCAGGACAGAGGATCCTGTACTCCACAAGCTGCAGGTTGGTCTCTTCATAATGGGCTTGAGATGTTGTCCAGAAAGCTGAAAAACAGTTTTAAATTTTCCCCGGAAGAAAGATGTTCTTCCTCTGGAACAGCAGCTCTATGCTGATGGACATTGGAGGACTGTACTCCAGTGGAGTGCCTTATCCTTTGGTTAGAGGCTGTGGCTCTGTAGAAGGAGCAAGCATTGACAAAGCCTGAGCAAGGACAGGTCAAAAGAGATGCCCTTTTCAGAAGGGGCACTAAATGAAGACAAACACAGGAGAAGCAGTAGGTTTTAGCTCTCGGCTCTGCCCGACTCAGCTCCTGGGGCCAGGGCATGAATTTACATCTTGATCTGGGACCAAAATGGTGTCTTCTTTGCAGTGACTGCTAGCAAGAATTCACCCCTGCTGCTTCATCTGACTTTTATCTCAATAATCACCACTATTACCACCACTCAGTAGTGGCCACTGAAGAGGCTGAAAGAGTTGCCAGTGTTCATGTAGTGATGAAGTTGGCACCTGCTCTCTTCTATAGCCAGGGGATCCAGTTCACCGCTCCCCCGATAGCTTGCCTTTCACCTGCCCGGCCATCTTCAGGCTGCTCCTGTCTTTCCTGTAGCCATTCCAGTGCTGGATAGGATGCATTTGCTTTCTAGGCAGCAAATACTGTGGTGGTTTACAGGAACACATTAATAGCTCATAAACCTCTTCTCCAGGACATGGAGGGGATTATCGCAATGCAGACATGAGGTTCTGAACTCCGGTAAAACTCAAGATTTCCAGGCCCCTTCCCAGCATCTTGACCAAACTTTAGTCGTGGGGAATGCTAGCATCTTGCTGCATTTGAGAAATCAGACTGTTGTTTCATTGCCTTTTGGAGTGACTGTTAGTATCCCTTTACCTGCCTTGCCCTGCGGCTTTCAGATGGATCTTATGCAGGCATCAGCTCTGAGCAGATGGAGATAACCCTTTTGCCCAGTGACCCGGGGTGGGAGCAGTCAGCTGCAGACCTGGATAAGTCTCCTGAAGGAACATATTTAAAGATGCTGGAATCCAGGTGAAGTATGAAAAAGCTGTTACAGTGACAGTCCAATGACAGGGCAACCTTTAAACTTGTTCATGGAACTGACCTTCATCTCAGTTCCCAGGGGATATCGTCTAGGGAGCCCTGACTCCATAGACGGGAATGGTCTGTGCCCTGTTATCAGCTTCAGTCAGTCTGAGCAGCTCGCAGTTATCCTCCTACTTGTCAAGGGTAGGATTCAAAGGTTTAGCTGGTGGGTCCCCCCTCTTTGCAAAGCAGTAAGTCTGGCTGGTTTATTTCTTCCTCCACCACAGCTTTATGCAGAGCAGTGAGCTGTACGGAGCAAGGACAAGCAAGGCTTTGCTGACCCCTCACAACACTGAACAACCTGTAGGTTTTACTATGCTGGAACCAGGAACCTGCTTTAGCTCTGCTGTCCTGCAGACCAGAGAAGCACCAAGCAATACTGATGCCAGCCCCCGGCTGGATAATTTTGTCCTGTGCTCTTGTGGATCATTTGTCTTCCCGGGGGAGCAGGTGGCCATGTGGCAGGCCCCTGCCAGCACCAGAGGAGTCGCTGGCTCCATGTGGACCCCAAGCATAGAAGGTTAGTAACATTGAACCTAGCCTGTTGCCCTTACTAGGTTTTAAGCTTCTCTTCCCTTTGCTATAAATGCTCTTGCTCCCTTGCATGGCTTTTCCTGTGTCACGATAAAAAGGGGAGCATGGCTTATCTTGAGATCTGGAGTCCTGCTCCTTTAGCAGCTCAAAGAGAAAACCTGTTGGCTTAAGCTGCCAAACCAGACTTTCTTACCTGTGCCTAAGCTGTAACTCCTTCCCAAGATAGCCCCTGTAATTCTTAACAGGCAAGTGCTGACTGCCTGAGCAGAGGCTAGGCGCTTTTTAGTTGTGCTCGTCTTCAGCAAGGAGTTCTCACTTTCCTTTGTCCTTACTTGTTTTTCTTTCTTTCTCCCGCCTTTTCTTCCTCTCTGTTTCCTTCCTATCCAGTCTCGTTCAGCATTGCCACCATCTCCTCCCCTTTCTTCTCCCTGTTCTTCAGAATAGCCTTGACGTTAACTGATGTCCGCCTGCTGTAGCTGTAAGTCTGTGGAATGGAAAGTGCTGTGGCAGCCATTCAGATGGCCTCCGATGAACGTGGAGCAAGGAGGGGAGGACTAGCTGGATTAGAAATGGGGTCTTGTTACCTGTAATTGTCTTTAACATGAGCATTTATTCCAGCAGGTATCAGAGCTCCCTTGAGCAGGGTCCCTCAAGGTGGCTGTATTGAGGCCAGTTCAGGAAGCATCATTCAGCAGTCACATTTAGCAGTTGAAAACTTCATCCTTAGAGAAGAACAGCTAGGGACTCTGGAAGCTATTCTTCCCCACAGGTAAAGGGAGCAGAGAGCACAAGGCTTCTCAAAGGCAGGAATAACGGTGAGGTTCTGGGTCTGGCCTTGTCCTCGTCGCCCTGTTGAAGAGGGTTACGGAAACAGGGTGGTGATTCATTTCATGCCAGGGGCCGACTGTCTCTTTGTGTCAATGAGATTTTGCAGACATTTATATCTGTGCATGGGAAATAGGAAATGCTGTGTAAGCATATGTATGTTTTATGCAGTGTAGTGTAGTACAAAGGAGATTCAGGTCTAGCCTCATGAGAAAAGATGTGAACCTCTCCCTATGAAACAGGCTTGGGTTCCGAGCTTTTCTGCCAAAAACAAACCAGGCAAAAATAACCTATCCTGATCTTATTGAGAGCTGATCCTGCAAGCTGGGGTGGTAGGGCCTGTAGTCAATCTTAAAATAGTTTTTTGTAGCTTCATAACCTCATGACAAGATTGTTCCATAGTGCAAGCTTTCCAGTTTGGAAGGCAGAGGGACACTGTTCTGTCTTTCTGTTTTCCACCTGTATGAAATGTTTCAGATTGCAGGTTTTCACTAGGATTTAAGATAAATTTCACGGAATGCAAAACAACAACAACAATCCTTGTCATCTTCCATATGTTGTTACACATCTTCCATACTGTTTCATAAAAATGAACACTGCAAAACAGACATCATAAAGTTGCTTTAACGTACTGATCTGCAAGACAGAACAGGAGTGGTAGCCTCTTTTCATAACCTTTCTGCTTGGCGCTCTCCAGCATTTGCGTTAGCATGACATTATCAATAATAAGTTGTAAATGACCTGTCAAAGAGGTAGGTAGAAGCAGCAGTTTTATTCCCACTTTTCAGATAGGGAACAGAGGCCTGGAGAGGCTTTGTGGCTTGTCAAGGCAACAGGAGAAGGCAGTGATTCACTGGAGATAGATATCAGTGCTTGTTGCCTCCCGCTTCCCTGCTTAAAACGTTTTGCCTTTTACTCGTTTCACAGTTGGCTTGGTGCCTGCAGTTATTCACAATCATGCCAAACTCCCCGCTCTGAATTGCTGGGGAGAGCCTGGGTCTAAGCGTTGTGAGTCCATCTCAGTCTGTGTTTTGGGATTTGCACAGTTTTAAATGATGGCTAAAGATCATGAAAGATCAGTGAGAAACTGCTGGCAAAATTTTGGCTGGATTTGAAATTGCATGCTCTAACTCTAGAGTGAGCTCATGTTTATTTTTAAAATATGTTCCACCAGTAGAAGAAATCTATGGTGAATGTCTCCTTGTTGGGTATGTCAGTTGTGCCGGGAATCCACACACCCTTATCGTATTCCTGGCAGTGGCAGGACTTGCTGCTGCCATTGACACCTTCTGGTAAGGATGCAGTTATTAAAACTCTACTTGTAAACCTAGTTTGGCTAGTGGCCTGGTCCAGCTCCCCCAAAAATGCAGAATTCCCCCGAATACCATGAATGCTACTGAGCTTCAGTCTCTTTAGAAATTCCTCTTTAGAATGAGCGAGGCTTAGGCTGCAATTTCATCTAGGCCTTTTTGCCAGAAGGCCACAGGCGGGTAGTCTAGGTGAGATCACTGCTCGGTGAATGGCAATGGGTGAGGAAGCATCTCTGCTATCAGGCAGGGCCCTCCAAGAGCTTTACTGGATTAGAGAGAAGTATTGTGTCACCTGAGTCATCTTTAGCAATATTGTGACACAGAGCATCACTCACCTGGGGACTCATGAAAGCAGTTAACAACTTGAAATGTAAGGCAGATGAAGTCTGCTCTCCTGGAAAAACAAGCTGGTGAAGTTATCCCTGCTTTAGAGATAAAACGTAGAGAAGGAAACGGCTTATGCAAGGGTATCCAGGGAGTCACAGTCAGAACCTGGAGTGCACTTCCAGTGCCCGGTCCTCGCTACTCCGCTAGTGTCTGTCTCTCCCCGCTTTGTAATTGCGGGAGCAGAGCTACAAGTCAGCCAAAGGAACCTGAATCCGTTTGTCTCATTTACAGGTGCTCACCTGGCAAGGACTTGGCCTGAAAGCTGATTAGAACAATTCCAGTCGATCTCTTTCAGGGGCTTTTTTACAGTTGGTCCTAAGCACTTGGGCTGAATCCAAACCTGTTCTGATCTACCGGGCGGTGAGGTGGGAGTATGAGGAGGAGCGAGGCTGGGAGCTGACTGTCTCTCCATCTGCTCCTGCTGCCTGACAGGAGAGTTTGATCCGGCTAGTGAACTAGAAGTCGCTGTGAGGCACTGAGCAGATGCTTGCCTTTACAGAGAGCGGTGTTGTGTCCTCTTCGCTCCTCTGGCTGGGACAGGTGGAATGTAGCCCAGCTAATGGCTCATGCAGAGTATCTCTCTCCCGTGCCTCCCATTTCAAACAGAAAAGCGCACTGAGGTCTACGGAGCAAGACAGACTGCATTTATGAGCCAGCATATTGATTTAGAAAACGCTGGTGCAGAGATGCTTGTTGCAGCTTACTGCTTCTGCTTGCATTTTGGGGATTGCAGCTCAGGTGCTAGGAACCCTCCTGCCATCAGGCCCTCCACCCTGTGCCTACTGGACTACCAAGCACCACTGACACCAGCAGGTTTACAGTACACAAAAGGAGACTATTTTTTGATATGCTGCATAATTAAATTGTAGAATATGTTGCTAAGGATATTGTGGATGTTGAAGTGTAAGTGGGCTAAGAAACAGGATGAGACAAATTCATGGGGGCTGAATCTGTTGGGAGGTAGCAAATGTCATTGTCTGAACGCAGCCTCCAGGAGAGGGGCCTCTAGACTGCTTGCTGGAAGCTGGGAGCGGACTCCAAGGAAGGGCAATGCAATGCTTGCCCTGTTTTCCTGAGCTCTGTTAGTTGGCCCCTTTGGTCTGGCCCTGCATGGCCATTTGTACCTTGGGGTATTCCTGGGAGCAGTATGGGCAGTGTCACTGGCGTACAGATTCTTTGGAGTTGGTGGTGAGGGGAGAGGAAGGAGAAAGGTGCTTCTGAGATCATCCCTTCAGTCAAGTACCTCCTGCCTCCTGCTTGGCCCAGTGCCCACAGACTGCGACCTCTGAGACGTAGCAGAGCCCGTAAGGGTGGTGCAGATGGGGAAGCCAGGTCCCCAGACTCCCAACTGAAGGCCTTGAAAAACTATAGTAGAATAGTAGCAAATGTTATGGCTACGTCTAGAGCCACACGTTTGTGTGTTTTGACTCTTAAAAATCTGTGTTTTTTAAACACGTTCCAGGAGAGAGACGTTTTGGTAGAGGTCTCCGTGTTTATGGGGAGTGTTCTGGGGGCATAAGGAAAGTTGCAAATCTAGATGTCATCCCTGCATACTGCTCCTGCTCAGGCTAGTCCTCCCAATGCAGAATATGTTTGTTCAGGCCTTAATAACAAATTGAGGAAACAACGTGGGTTTGCAGACCACTTACCAGGACTCCTTCTCTTTTGAATGAATAGTCTTGCCAGGAGCTCCTCTTGTCCTGTTGCAAGACACTACATTAAGTGGTGAGTAGGACATACATTGCAAAACAAGCCCACGTTCTCTTATCATCATATTTTCTTCCAGTTCCTGTCAGACTGTGTTTAGCAGACCTCAGTGCCCACCTGTTTCTGCACCGTGCATGGAAGAAAGCCAAGCCTTGGGACAAAACCAGGTGAGAGAACGCACCTCATGTACAGAGAAGGAGGCCAGCGATACGCACGCCATGCAGCTTTAGCTCTCACACAAGAGATGTGAAATCTCACATCATACCTTGCATTAAATATGTCCAATCTAAGCATATCTTTGGAACACAGTTCCGAGTAGGCTGGGTGTTCCCTGTGCAGTGTCCAACACATGCTAGAACCAGAGGGTTGTTTTGTTGTTTTTTCCACTTGGATTGCATATCAGCCCCTGATTTTACTAAACTTGTCATTGCGGTGATGGCCAAAGCAGCCTGTGCAGATCTAAAGTATCATTTACGTTTCAAGAAATGGAAGGTTTACCTAGCGCTGTGGAAAGACAATGACTGCAAGATGGTTGCTTGAAGGTACTCCCCTTCTGAGAGGATCTGCAGAAATTTGGCTGTGCTCTCTCAGACTTGTTAAAATTTCTGATGTAATTTTCATTTCCCGGTCTGTGTTGCTGCTGAGGAAAAGGGATTGTCCACCATCCTGAGAGAGCTGAGAGCAGTGTACAGAGAGTAGTGTTGTTATGGGAAATGATAAAACAGCTGACTTACCTTCCCTGGTCTGCATTCAACTTGCAGGCTTTCTTACACTGACTTTAAACCAGCAGAGAAGAGAAACTAGAAATCCAGTGCTTTCAAGGTGATGGGAGCACATCTCTGAGTTAAAAGTTACTTAACAGGACCCAAGAAAGCCTTATATAAATTGTATCTTATGCTGTTCATAAAGTTTTTTTTTTTTGGCTTGAAATGTGTTGGTCTACCCATCACTCACCCGTTTCTGTTTCTGTTGCAATGTAAACTGCTGGAGAAAGCCTTTTCAAAAGACATTTTGAAAAGCAGGAGACCGTATCTGCTGGCCTCATTATGGGAAGTGGCTGCAGCTCTGAGGATGGTAACAGAACCTCTTTTGAGCCTCTGAAAGCATCAATATAAAGATCTGTATCTTGGAAAGTGGCCTTTTTACCAGCCATAATGTGAGCCAGATGAGTAGGAAAGCTTTGGGCGTTAATAATGAATGAGCCTTTTCTAAGATTTCCAGAGCATGCAGTCTCTGTAGCTAGAGCTTCCTCTTGCTATTTTGGATTCTTGCACTGATTTTGTGATTGTACAGAAACCCGACGCTCCGTGCAATATAGGCTGTGGAACAAGACACTGTGCAATGCCTGCAGATGTCAAAAAGGGACATCTTCAAATCTTTGTAAAGATCATTGAATTCAGGAAATCAGACAAGCTTTCCCCCTCCCCCCCTTCTACTTGGATAATTTAATGTGTGCCACGTGAAAAGGGAGAGAGCTTGAATGGGAAAATGATTTTGCAGCATTCTACAGGCGTCCTGGCCGCTCTGATTCTTGCTCAATGAACTTTTCTTGGGCTTGTTGTAGGGATTTCAAATGCTTGGTTCCTGTGTCTGAGCCATAGGTGTGCAGATGTACGCTCCCTGTAGTCCACACATGACTTCCAGTTTGCTCTTTGTGGGTCATTCATCCCTCCAGAGTTAGAATGGGAGTAAAGCAAAACAAAACACTAATTTTGGAGACATTTCTTTCCCTCCTTGAACATCCTTGTCCAGGTAATACTTCCCTTCTTGATATAATCTTTTCATCCTGGTCTTGCCTTCTATCATTTATTTTCTTTTACAGAAGCCAGCGCCTTGAGCAGAGGGAAGGAAATTGCTCTTCTCTGAATTACTAGAGTTGAATTGTACACAGATGGTGCTTGTCGTTTTTGCACCCATGTTCTGTACAGATGGATAACTCTGCCTAAACTCAGAGGGGAACAAAGACGCTGGCACTTTCTGCACGCAGCCCTCACCTCTAACGCTCCCTCCCATCCCATGGTCTTGGGCTACTGTACCTCTGACCAAAGGAGCTATTTCACAGTGAGCAATTGCATCTTAAAGGTCTAAGTGATGAAGCTTTGATTCCTTACTGTATCTTTCAGGTACTGGAGGATCCAGTTGGTGACCCATCAACTAATGACACATTCTGGGCAGCATGGCTGCTCTTTGAATTCGCAGCCGGGGGGCGATGCCTGCAGAGAAACTAAATGTTTTCTGTACTTCTCCAGGAATCACTCCATCCTCTCCTGTTTTTCTCCCCCCCCCCACTTTTTTTTTTTTTTTTTTTAAACGAATGAGGGGATTGACCTGGAAATGAGGAATGGAGAGAATGAGGTGGAAGGATGAAGACTTTTTTCTAATAGTTAAAAAGTTTGTTTTAGTTACAGTTTTATTAAGAATTTTGCAAAGAATAGAAGAAACTAAAGGTACTTTGAAGATTGTAGATTTTTACTGGGGCAATCTGAAACTGCATTAAAGATGTTAAAAATACCGAGCCGCTGATTCTATAGCAGTTACGTAGTTCTACCCACACAACTGGTCAGATCAGAGTCCTTCATTCCATGATGGAAATACGTGATGCCCCTCTACGCAAAAGGAAGTAAAACCTCAGATACGTTGTCTACTGATTGAACATTGGAGGGCTTTGTCTCATGCCTGGAGAACATGAACTCAGCTAGCTGCAGGTAAAATACTGCCGTGTCTCACCCCCGCGTTGTGCTCGTGCCGCTGGCTGCACCTTCGGGAGTGTCCCACATCCCGCAGTGCCGCAGGTGACGCGAGCAGGAGCACGGCGGAGTTCACAGCGCTGCAGTGAACTCTTCTGGGGTAAGGTATTTGGCTGCTGCTCTCCTGGGGAGTGTGCGCGACTCTCAGTTCTTTCTGCCCAGTACTTTTCCTTACTTAACGTAGCCTCGAGGCCGCCTGCGATGCTCCTGCTTCATTTCACGCTGCTGACAGACCAGGAGCAGTTTTCCCTTCCTTTGACTCTGGGGCTAGAAAGCAGAATTGCGGATATGTTAGGGCACAATTAGCAATGCAGGCCTTTGACACATGTTTAAAATATCTGCTGTAAGTCATTGGGCAATCTTTTGAATGTTTTCCTTAAGTATGATTACTTTATTCCTTTTGCAATACACATTTTCTGGGGAAAAAAAAAATCTTTGCCAAAAATATAGCTGTGAGATACACAAAAGTTGATGCCTGTCGTGCCTTTTGTAATAAAGTTAGCAAATAAAGGTTATGCATGACTCTTTCTCCAGGGTTCATTTTCAAGGTGAGGTTATCAAGACATTACACGCACCAAATGCTTCTCAAGACCCTAAGGCCTGGGTGCCCTGTGCCCGTTTTTGTCTGTTGTGACCCCC